ATATATCAGCAAGACGTCAATTTTTAACAGAAGCAAAAAATGTAGTAAAGAATGCGAAAAATTGTTTAAACTCATCAGATAATGGCAGCAAAAGAAACGATTCGCCTATTGATTTCACAGTTCATCTCGCACCGCGTCCATCATCATCACCACCCTCATCGGTGTTATGTAATGGAGATTTGAAAGTGAAGTAAGCGAATACTTTACAAGTTTATTTTGTGTATGTTTGAACTATTGTTAATGCTGTCCTACAACTTGCATTACGTTGATTCTGTGACGTCAAGAGTTCATTTTAATATTAATAGCCTTAACTGTATATGAGTAAACCTTTAAATTAAACACTGAACTACATTTTATATACTCTGCTTAAAGATATTACCCAAGTATTAATAGATTTACGACCCGAATTCGGAAGCAGAAAGTTGAATACCTATTTCGCCGGTCCACTCTGAGAACATTCATCTGTAAATGTTGTTGGTATTTGTTATAACTGCAAGTTGATCGATATCCATAGAAGACTGGTCAATCAGAATCTTGTAGTATTCCTCTACCCCGTGCATACTATTTTACCTATTACCTAGCGTCCTAAGCTTTGTCCAATTATACGTTTCTGTCATCAAGATTAACCTTGAGTTGAGGCTGAGGTAATCCCAATTCGTGTTGGTCCATGACGTATGCCTCTCTTCTAGCCCAGTTTTCAGTCTGGTAATAGAACATAGTAAGCAGTAGTTCAGTAATATATCTCATGTGAACCAACTCATCAAATAATACAGATCAATTTCTTGATCACACATAAACGTGAATATAAAATTACCGTCTAGACATAACTACACCAAAAGTGGAAGAAAGCGGGGAAAAAGGTGAATGCTTAATTCACCATAATTAAGGAATAGTAAGGTGTATGGCAATGGCTAGTAAGGTCCACTGGAAACTTGCAGGAATTAGAATATAGGAGTACAAAAATACAATTATCTCATAATTATGCGAACAAAATATAAATAGTGATAGTTCATAAGATAACTTTGAAAGACTCGTGTAACCGCGTAGTTTTATTTGTGCTAATAATGTTTTAGGACACTGTTTAGACAGAAATTCAAGACAGTACATGCTAATCTTATTCACTTTAGGGACTGTTTCAGAATAACTTGGGTATGAAAGGTTGGATATACGTTTCCACAATTGGAACAGACCTAAGAGTTTTTATCGTAATCTCATGTCATTCAAGGAGTTGATAAAAGTTATTATTGAATCGTTTCACCTTAGTTTCCTGTTGGATAACGAACATCGACGCCTATATAGAAAAACTTTGAATTTCCCCAATAGTAAAACACCTTAATAACGGATGCTACGAAGCACGAAATATAAGCTTAAAGCCCATGAAAATATGTAAAATTGAGTGACGTTCAATCATGCGATCGTTTACAAACATTTCACTAGTTAAAATACATATTTTGTGGTGTGACTGGCTATTATGAAGGGATCAAGCGTGTGACTGTGGGTTGGTTCAGTTTGGAATTTGTTTAAGTTATAACTATTCAAATTTAGCGAATAACCAATACAAAGTAAATCGTCATATATATTAGTCTCTTTCCTTGCACCGAGCCATATCAAGTGAGTGGTTTTATTAGCGTACGCATTTATAGAATAATTCTATAGTCAATTTCATCGTTGTTTGTTAACTGTAATTCACATTAGTAGATAATATCCCGTCGTCAAACTATCGAATTAGGACACTAGTTATTGTAAATTTTGTTAGTTCTATGTATATAAGACTTCAAGTTACTTACATTTTCTGGTCATATCCTGTTAAAAATGTGTATTATTAAATTTTATTCAATATATGTTAACAATTTTGTCAGTTTAGTGTATTTAACATCAAGTCAGTTTCACATTAAATTTCATTGACAAATACTTGTGTTTTCTTTTGTCCCTCTTCCTTATCATCTTCCATTTTAAATCAGTGATCAAACAACAAATAAAACACAATCTAGTAGACCAATAAATTCTCATATAAAAAAGTCATCACAATCATCAAACATCTATTCTATACATTATGATCCGTTAACAGAACAAAAACAATTATTATATGAACAAGACAACCGATTGGATCAATTAGGTGCAACTATATCAAATTTAAAAGGAATGTCACAGCGTATTGGTGATGAATTAGGTGATCAAGTTGTTCTGTTAGATGATTTCAATAATGAAATGGTTAGTACAGAATCAAGGCTTGATTCAGTAACTAAACGGACAGCACGTTTATTACACTTAAATACTGATCGTCGTCAATGGTGTGCTATTTTCTCTTTGTTAATCACACTCATTGTTATATTGATTTTATTTAGTGTCCTATAATTGTTATCCTAAATAAATAGGATATATATATTCGTTTTTGTATTATACTGTCTTGTTCTCATATTTATACGTCTCTTTTCCAAGTGGTTATTTTAATCAATAGTTTCCTTATGACTTGATTTATTTGTTTTGTATTGTTTACTTTGTTCGAACCAAAATGTGTTGTTCTCACTATATGACACTAATGTTTATAATCTCTTTTGAATTTTATTGTTAACTTATCATTCACTAATTCAACTTTATCTGTGATGTTAATTCATTAAGAGATATTCAGAGAGTTTATTATTAAAGAGTTACTGTTGTTCTTTTTCTTACTGTCGATGCTTGTATATTCAAACTTAAGTCATTTCAATTCTGATTTGATTGTTTTTGCATTATAATTAATATGAACTGTATTTGAAAGTGATGTTAATTCAGTCTTTAACAATTACCGTTTAAATTTGGAACTTCTCGGTAAGGGTTCGAATCCCACAGAAAAAGTATCAATTCTCTCAAGATTTTAGATGAGCTTTGATGATAAGTCCCAATAAGCACGAAATGTAAGTTGAACTGGATATTTTTGCCAGCCATCTCCAACCATCTGACGTTTCAACACAATGTATGTGATGTGTCACTTAGACTAATGGATACATTGAAACTTAATAGATAGGATTCTGTAAGTACTAAGTACTAGACAAATAATGAAAATGGTCACTACTCAATAATCAATCAATGTAAACACCTTAAATTATGTGTGGTCTGATTTCGTGGATATTTGCTGGGATTAAAAACCTGGTGCCGTTTCTCAGTAGGTCTAATATATTCGCGATAGAAATAATTCAAATGCTCAATGGTATACATTTATTCACAACCTTGACTAACACATATTGCACTGGAGCTTTCAACAACGATATGACAGGAAGTGGATTATTAAAAATTATTATGTAGAAAAGCTGTTTACTGGTATGAAACTTGACATTTTACACACTAAGATACATGATACTATAAGACAATGAAATGTTTGCAGAAGTCCTACTTGAGTATTATTGCTAAACGCCAACAGGTGATGTGGATCGCCAATTCACCGGGAGTTTTTCTATGATAACTAGTCGGACTAAGTTGGGAATACAGATTGAAGGAAAGCACTTTAAACATAATTTCCACTGTGTAAGTCGATTCTTGATACATAAAATATAAAAATAGTGGTCTTCAGCACGATGAGATGTAATTATCAGGACAAATCACAGAGTAGTCGAAGTTGTAACAATATCAGTAGTAGTAAAAAAAGACTTAAAATAGATAACATGGAATAAAGGGTAATATAATTTTGGAACTTAGGATTTAAGGGACCACATGCTCCATTGCGAATAATTTTGGGCCGTATCCAAAATTTTCAACGGTTGGCCACAATCTCCCGGACCTCATCCTATCATCAACTCCATGAGCATGTGATACGTTTCGGTTAGTCCGCCTCACGCTTTCTAACCTACTTCTACATTATTCAGAATCATGCGTCAAGATAGTTGATGGTTGGCCAGACGTAATACATGCCCTGACTACCTCAGTCGATGAAAATAACCTGTTGCCCTCAATCCAATTTCAACATCGCTCAATTTGTTGTCCCAATATACGCGTAAGCGACAAGTTGGTAATATTTTTACCATACCGAGTGGAAGATGGGATCTGAACGATCTTGTGGGTACTCTCATTTCGACCATCCAGTGTAGCTAAACTCACTGCTTCGTCATATGAATTGAATACTTTGTCACCAATGCTAATTACGTTACTGACAAGAAAGTCCGAAAATGGTATAAATTGACTGGTTTGGCTACTTGATTATAGACAGTTTATCAGCTTAAAAATGGCCTGTTTATTCAAAAGTCCGACTATTTATTCCTGGTTCTCAATGCTTTGGAAAATATTACTCGTGATCAAATGCAAAATGACCTATCATGCAGGTTTCGAATTCAAATACTACTCACTTTGACTGTTCAGATTAAATAGAGATTCTCAGTAGGCTGAACATAAGACACCCTAGTGTTTCATCGTCCCGGCACTAACTGGGTTATTCATTTAGAATATTGTAGATACTCTCGTGTTATCAGTTTGAAAGATTTCATCTGCTTTGCTTTAGCACAGTAGATTTAGGATCCTTAAATCTGGTGGCTATAAAATAAAATATCACCTACTACCTTTAGTCTTATTATGATTGTAGTAATTATCGAATGCCTTGTAACTGAACCCTTTTTCCTTTAATATTTTCTGTAGATTATCTTCAGTCTTGTCCCATGTATGTAGTCTAGAAATGATTTCACACTGAGTCAATCGCTCATCGTGTGTATCGTAACTACCACGTATCTTTCGACTATCTCAAAGGTGATCTACGCTAAAGCTATGACCTGTATTTAATCCACTGCTTAAACAACTTACGATACATCAAGTCTTTTCGGCTAGTTATTCACTTTTATTATTATTAATGGTATTATTCAATATTGTATATTGAGTACAATATGGAAATCTCTTTAGTAGTCAAATAAATCTACTATCCTCTTCCTATCTTTTCTAAAGCAGTCTCAGAATTTTCGCAAAGCAAAGACTATGCTTTTATAATTATCATTTATGATTGTCGAAATATATCGATAACTAGAACAAAAAATTCAATGTTTGACTTTCACAATTTATGAATATATATAGACTACTATTAATAAAGTAGTAGACAAAAGATGAATGAGAAATGTTTATTACACAAAAGAGTTTGATTTTATTTGAATATTGTTAGTTAGTTAACTTGGAAAGACTTTGGAATAGTTAAAAAATTACTTGAGCATGGGGGCAAGAACAAGAGTTTCGTGTCTACAATGAGAGGAGAAGATTTCTAATGAATGTAGAAAGGAAGATATCTTTTTTTATCTGTCTGTCAGTCGTTTCATTGAATCCAAATGGATTAATCTAACAAAAAATCATTTCTCTGTAATATTGATTAATGGTTAGTTATGTTCATTTACATAAATATGACTGTTCAAGAAGACGGTGAGTTTTTATTTACTTTACAATAGAGTTGTTTTCACAACAAAATGCTTTGAATTAAGTTAATATATATAAACAGTTGAGATTTATTTTTTTATCGACGGAGGTTTAGCACTATGATCTATATTAGTCCTAATTATTGGTTCCATTTATTTGAGCCTTATTTTCTTGTGTACAAGTGGTAGTTTTTCTTGGCAAATCATGACTATTAAGCATATCCATAGGTGTGCTCATAAAGTTTTCTGATTGGTAATTTCTAGTAGAATTCGTCATAAGTTCAATCAACTGTTGTTGTTGTTGTAGGCTCTGCTCTTTATGATGCGGATATGGACGTGTTTGTAAATAGGTTGGATAATCTGCAGAATACAATATTGATTGTGTTGATGGTTGATTAGTATAACTACTATTTTGTGTTTGTCTATCGGTCAGCAAAGATGAATTATGTGAACCGACTAAATTCGGTTGCCATGAAATGATAGGATTTATTGTCAATGTTTTATTTATTGGATTCATTGTTTGTGTCCATTGCATAGTTAGAGGTGTAATATTTGCGGGAGTTTGAAAGATTCCATTATTTGGCTGATTTCCGACATCGTTACGATTTAACTGGGTACCATTCATCGGAAATAAGGATTGGGCAGCCAGGCTAAGAAACGATTGTGCTGCACTAGGATTTAAACTGTTATTTTCTGTCAGTCCAGGTTTTAGAATACACCTTTCACCAACAAATGTTTCTAACGGTCTGGGTACATCATATTCATGGCTTCCTGCCCCTGAATAAGCATATTCAGGCATTGGCCAGTAGGCTGGATTCGGTGGCGGTGTGGAATTCGCCTCTAGACGAGGGTTTGGAACAGTTGTGAGTAACAACGCTTGTGGTATATTGGGTCTACGGGCGGATATCGTTGTTGAACCAAACTGTGATGGCATTGGAGTAGTGGTTGCTAACACCATATCAGCAAATGTAGTACATGTTGTTTCTACATCTTCACGCTGTAACAGTTTAGCATCTAAACTATTCCCATTTTGATTCAAATGATGCGATCCAATATTATTCATAGCTGATTGATGCTTACTACCTCTCAACAAATGACCATTATTATTATTGCTACTATTTATCCATGAAAACCACTTACTATGCGATCCTAAATGTGATTTACGTAGATTTTTTGCTGATAAATGATTATTGATTTGACAAAACCAGGAAAAACAATTTGTCGCCAAGTATAATAATGCTAAAGTGGCAATAAATGTTCCTATAACTGCACCGAGTAATTCTAATAATGTAAATCTTTTTATGAATAAATAACCATATGTCTCTTTACTTTCCTCTTGTAATGAATTTGTTATCTGTTTATCAAGTATCTGTGAAGTTGTGGTCAATGATGACATTGAAACTTCAGCATTGTCATCTTTCGGAGTATGTTGCTTACGACTGTCCAAACTTGAAGATTCACCAATTATTACAGGATTAATAAATTCAGATGGTTTCAGAGGTCCAGACACACGTACAGTAACTTCATGAAGCCTATAATATTGAAATTTGGTTTGATGATTATCAGATGTTGGGACAATTAGGGATGTAGGTTTAAATGGGTTAACAATACCCTCGGAAGAAGTCAGTGATGTAGTAGATACTGAAGATATTGATGGTATCCCATCATTATTCCATATTGTACATGTGAAGTTTTCAATATTTACTGAATTCAAACTTACATTTAATGCAAGTTTTCGTTCAATCATTTTGTTCCCTGGTAATATATTCAAAGATGATTGACTATTAGAATGCATAAAATACTGATCATTGGAACCTTGTTTAACTGAAGGGTCTAAAATTTGCTGTACTTTTTGTCCGTGTATCTTATATGTCCATGCAAGACTTGGTGTTGGTCTGCCTTTACCAATACATGTCAGTTGAGCAAAATCTGCACTTGCTTTTAACATATTTATTTCAATTCCAGTTATACTTGGGATTGGACAAAAATAATCCCAACTACGTGGTAACTTCTTACCAGCCAAGGCAGGTGGTTGTGCACATGTCATATTCATATGTTGCATTAAACGAATTGATGATTCTGTTGGTGAATTTGACCAATCAGTAACATCTTTTTTGTGATCATTATTGTTTAAATCTTTACCAGTGACATACTGATATGCATCGTAAGACTGACTTTCTACTAACCTTGAAAGCCACATAAGCTGACAATCACAATTCAAGGGATTATTGCTCAAATCTAAATAGCCAAGGTTAGGACGAGGTGGAACAGTTGATAAATGATGAATTTTTGAATTTGGAGGATCTATGACAAGTTCAGCGAATTGTGGATCTAACCATGTTAAAATATTATCAGATAAACTTAACTGTTTCGGTTTAGCCTTAGCTATTGTCTCGTAATCTAGTGAAGTTAAATCACAGTTTCGAGCTGCCAAGTGAAAAACATGAGCACCATGAAATGATGTTCGATCAAAAATTATGCCTTTATTATCAGTTAGTGAGAGAAGCTTTAAAGATGGTCCAGCAAATGCTTCTGATCTAATTGTTATTATTCGATTTTTCGACAAATCTAATATACGTAAATGTTCCATAGCAGAAAAAGTATGTGATTCAATCTCTTTTAAATCAAAATTACTTATTTGAAGATATGTTAATGTTTCCAAACCGGTTAGATTATCACGTGTTAAAATTCCATTGTGTTGACCAGTAGAATTCATTCCTGAAATGATAAGTTTTGCAATTTTAGCTGGAATATCATTTCTTGGAATTGGTAAAGATGGTATTGTTGACTGACAAAATAATACAGGACGATCATTTTCAGTCAATTGTAAACATGCACATTTAACAGATGATGTAATAATGCTTAGAAGGATGAAGAAATAGAAAATGTACAAAAGTCTTAAACTGATTAAGGGATGCATAGAATTCGATAGAATTTTGAGTTCCATATTCTTGATTTATTTTCAAAGTTGTCAATCCTGTTGTGATAGTAACAGAATGATCTGTAGAAAAAGAAAAAGAAAGTAACTTATTAGAATACTAAAAACTGTATGATAACGATATGTAGTTTTTAAAACAGCCAAGCCTTTACTGATTTAAGGTTTAAAATGGTCATGACTACCGATTAGAATACGTAAGAGATTCTGGATGATCGTCATCATTCAGTCGTCAATGTCTAGTAGAATTTTGATTTGATCTAAAACTAAATAATTGTATAGTCTAAATCCTTGGCTATTTCTTTCGGTCTGATCAATTGATTAGGTATTATTCAGTGTTATGTAATGACAACTGTGGTAAGCCTAGAATAATGTTTGTTTATTCTTACTCAATTCATTCAAACAAAGTTCTGAAGAGTTAGGAGGATAATTGTTCATCGGCTACTTAGATAATGATTTATGGTAGCCGGAACTAACAACACACGCATCATTTCTGTAGTGTGGTGCGTAATATTTCAAACAGCCAAAACTCTAATTATATCGGAAAACAAGGATAGAGTCCGTTTACCTTCTCTGAGTGTTGACAATAAACGTGCAATGAAAAATGGGAATAAATGCCTTAATACTATCCAACGTGAACATATATTTATCTAAGTATATGTACATAAATAAGCTCTGGGTATTCATAGCAATTTTTCAGTTCTTTTCTTCATTTATCTCATTAACCATATTGAGATCACCGGGTAGGTGATAATGAGGTTAGACACAGGATATTACGGAATGATGGTAAATCAGTTGATGAGGTTGTGAATCTTCATCGACTGGGATGGTTGCACCGCGTGTTACGTATGCCTGAACACCGATCACCACGACGTGCAATGCTAACCGGTGTTCGGGATGGTTGGAAGAAAGTTAGGGGCGGCCAAACCAAAACGTGGCATCAGTGCTTGAAGTCACTAACTTCTAGTCTTAGCCATGTTGGTAGATGCAGACTACTTGGTTGGGGTCCGCGTGACTATCGTAACCAATGGTTGGAGACTCTTGGTGACATGGCTCAGAATCGATCACAATGGCGTCGGTGCATGCACTTTCTGTCTTCCCTTAAACTATCTTTCTTTCTACGCACCAGTTCTTTCTTCCAGTACAATTTCCATATATGCAATCTTTCTTTTATATATTACCACCTCTGAATTAACTACTTTTATGAATCCGGTGTTCATCTTGTTGTGTTAATGAGGTGTGGCTACTTGGAACGATGTATATATGTGCCTAGTCCTACGTTGTAGCTGATTGACTGGATCTAAAAAATGAGTACAAGGTAGCTTAGTACAAATTTCTAATGCTCATTAAAGCATACAGTGATAAATTCAGTAATAATTACAAAATAATACAAATAACTAGATAAAGAGTAATAAGGAGATCCTATTAACCAATGAATTCTCAGAAGTTAATCTCATATTTAGAGATCTGGTCAGATCAATCAGCCGTTAACACAAGGAGAAGATGAATTGTAGGAAGATTTGGTAATCAAAATAGAATAAGCAGAACCAAATGAAATGGTACAACTCCGTATATATGATAATGACAACATGACCTTCAAGGATATGGAAATTTAGAGAATTAAAATCAATGGGAACCATTCAGAAAAGTTAATGCAGAAAATTTAATTAGAATAAAAGCACATGGAGCATAATACATAGATTGTTCATTCACTAAACACTTTATTATGCACTAGACAATATCTCTACCAAAATGGTTTTATATAAAAATAATGCAAAATTGCAAATATTTGTTTCGTGACAAATGGCTAGCAACAATGCAAAATAGTTTCAGTGTCTCAAACCCAGCTGTTTGTTTAGAATTGTGCTCACCGATAATTTACCTAAAGTCACTTAATCATGAATCACTTGGAAAAAGAATTACTGGTAGAACAGAACAAGTGGGTCCAGTTGTTTGTTTTCATTAACATTGTAGGTAAATGGTTCACTTTGGCTTTATGTAACGACTTAACCATTTACTACTCTCATTAAAATATATGATCGATTTGAAAAGGGTTATTTTCTTCAGTACATTATCTGCATAAATTACTATTAACATTTTTATGAATTTCGACAATATTATGCTCACTCCGTTAGATAGTTGAATTAGTCAGTTTTAATTATCATCCTGAACTTTATCTTCAGTGCTTAATTCCTGTATCTGTCGTTAAAGGTTTTAAAGACTAGTTGCATTTTGTTTGATAACTCTTACTGATTAGTAATCTATATTTGTTGGTCAATCATCAATTGTCCTACTATAATGCTTAGTTCAATTTCATATGGAATAAGGGCGTCTGGTCACTTTTTTCCCAGGTTCTAGAATTATCTTAACTAATGTGCTGTGTTTTTTTTAGAGAATGGGGAACGACAAATTTTTGTATATATTAAAACAAATTCACTAAGTTTCTTTTTCAAACATAAGGATCAATCTTCCAGAAACAAAAATAGAAGGAAATAATTCATGGTAAATTTATTGTTTCTAGTGACCCGTGAAAATTGTTTCAAATATGGAAAATATATGACAGATTACAGAGATATACATTACTCATGGGAATGACATGTAATGATTTATGTATTCATACTAGTAATAAATAATGTTCAGATTGATGTAACTAGGTCATGAAGATTGATATCAGGATACATGTTGACAAAAGATGAATAGTCGAGCAACAGAGAGAGAGAGAGAAGATTTGATAAAGTAAGAAGGTGAAAGGAAGAAGGAATGCGATAGGAAAGGGGAATCTCAATAAACGTAAAATGATAAATCACTCAACTGCTGTATGTTGCATGTTCAGTATTTAATTAACATTTCACGTATATACACGTTCTTATAGTGGTAATCTAGAGTACAGATCAATGGGAACTATAATACGAATATGCCTTTTTATTATGATTTGTTGAAAAAAATATCAGTATTGTGAAATTTTCGTACTATTAAACGGTTTTGTTTTATTTCTTTACTTTATGAGAAGGTTGGTTAAAACTTATGGTCATGAATTGATGATCTTAACGCCAGAAGCTTTAAAGAAACCAATAACAGCCACTAAATAATGCTCATCAATAGAGACTCACATATTAGTATCATGAATGAAAATAAACAATGATCAAGATATCAGTAGAAAGCAACACTAATTGTTTTACGATATCTTATGTATCAGTCAATCAACAACGTAGAAATTCGTAAGTAAGTACATCAGTTCGAGTTGCCATACCACATTAGCACACAGATACAATTGTCCATTCAAATCTCATGGTGGTAGAGGTAGTAAAAGAATAAGTAGTAATCGGAAACACTAGGGTTTGAAGATGTTATTCAATGAGTATAATCCAGTGAAATAAATTTAAAAAGAAAAAAAAAGGTAGGAGCATGAAGAATTCAGAAGAATAAAATTTGGTAGAACACAAAGAGTGGATACATCTACGTCATTGCAAACGATTTTGAGCCATGTTATTCAAGGTCTCTAATCATCGGTTGCTATGATCTCACGGATCTCCGGAACCAGGTAATTTACACCTACCAACATGGCTCAGTCCACTTGTGTGTATCAAAAAAGGTCTAATGATTTCAATTCATTGAATCAGTAAAGTGTGTCATCTTTTATTATGTGATAATTTTATAGACACTTCAAAGTGTAGATGTATATGGATGCGTTTGTAAACAGGGATGAATGAGGCACACTCTTAATATATGGTATTCATTTATCTATCAACTTCAGTCTACACAACTGTCATTATTTTAGTTCTTCGACTTATTATTCAGATTTAATCAGTTCATCACTATTAATAATGGTTAGTATAAGAGATTTTCAACTTTCTATTCATTTCAACCGTTGAGATCATGAGTCAATTGAAGCTAGACCACCATGGAAAACCTGAGAGCACTGGACGACCGTTTCGTCTATTCATTTTGTGTTATTGACTTACACTACTCATAAGTAGTAAATAGTAAATGACATACCATTTTATATCTGCATTACTTTAGTTGCTGAAAACTATTCATAAAACAGGAATACTTAACTCTTTCTTATTAAATTTATATTACAGGAAGCTTTAATTTTAAATTTTATTCTATGCAATAAATATCAACAAAGAGTAGGATTCATGGTTACATAGTAAATTAATATTATAGAATTTATTCAACATTAGAAATTACACAAGAAAACATTAGTTTATTGTTTTGAATATTAACAAAATTTCTAAGTGGAACTAATTTTATTACTGTAATTTTCCATGGTGGTCCAGCTTCAATTGACTCATGATTTCAACCAGTGAAATTTCTAAAAATATTCACAAAACCCATTCTGATCATAATAATCACCTGCTCACTAGTGACTGACTTCAGGAGACACTCCTGGAGTCCTAGTAAGAAGTCGTTACCAGTGGAGTTCAACAAGGTCTGTTGTGAGATAGGAACTCACTGAAGATGATGGCGTACGGTGGCGCAACTTCGTGGATTGGTTGAAGTTAGACATTAACACCGTTGGATGCTGGCTCAGTGGTGTAGTTTGTTAGGCACCTGGTGCGAGACTGATAGGTCCTGGGTTTGAATCTCGCGGGGTGCGGGATCGTGGATGCGCACTGCTGAGGAGCCCCATACTGGGACGAAGCGGCCGTCTAGTGCTTCCGGGTTTTCCTTGGTGGTCTAGCTTCAATTGACTCATGATTTCAACCAGTAAAATAAATAGTATTTACAACATTTAAGTGTAGAAGAGTATGATGAACTTTTTCTGAATTGCTTTTTAATATTTAATATTTAGTTCCAGAAACTTTGTACTTAAGTTCGATCTTACAGAAACAAATTGTCGTAGATATTCAACTATGACATGTAGCTACTATTGAATACTTTAGTATACCGTAACTATAATGAATATGTTTTTTTTTCAGTAATGATGGAAATTTTAAACGTCATACTAATAAAAGCAAGAAAAAGATACCCATGATAACCTTTTCCTATTCTTGGACATTAATAAAACATCATAAACAATCTATGTATACAATTGTGTATATTTGAAAGCTTATAACATGTGA